TTATCCTATAAAGGGGTCAAACTCACGTATTTCATGTAGCTCAGCAGTTCTCTCTGAGAGATGGTTTTGCTCACCAAAGATTAAGATTCTGTATCTTTTCAAAATGAGCATAACTAGTATATTGAAAAAGTACACCTCATAATTAAGTGAAAATGCAACTTTGTTTTTCCCATTGTCCTTTTACAGTGGGAAATTTAGCGTATGGGGTAATCGTCCCTGCTCCTGCATGAGGACTCTAGCAGTCCATAATTTCTGGCTTATTCTTAGGTGACAGAAGATCCACAGTCTAAGTCACAAACATAGTAGATATAAAAATTAGAAAATCCAGTCCTGTGTAATACTCAAAACTTTATGCTTAATTTACTGTTAAATCCCCCTCTTCTTCCTCCATCCTCACTTCCCCACTCTTAGGCTGGCTTCAGGCTGGAAGCCTGCAGTAAGGTAGGGGTAGTGGTCCTTTTTCTTTCTCCACCTCATATTTCTAGTCCTCTCTGACCATCTTGATGGCTGCTGTTTTGACCCTAGAAGGGTCCAGTGGGACTGGAATGACAAGGAGAGGTGACCCATAGGACACTTCTTACTTGAACGAATACTCTTGTCATTTGATCTTAACTCTGGTCTTGCAGATGCCTTTTCCCCTTGAAATGATGTCATTTTCCAGGACTCTTCAGAGTTTTTCTGTTTTCTCCTACTATTCCCTCCCCCCTGTAGGATGCTTCTCTTATTTCTGTGTTCTCATGGTCCCTGTGACTCCTTCCTCATCCCCTGCACATAGAGTAGTGCATCTCCAAGCTCCTCAGCCTCCTCCAGGTGGCTCTGTTGGGTGAACCCAAGATAGTTCCCATACTGGCTCACTCTGTGTCTCAAGGCCCACAGTTCTTCCAAGGAACACTCATAGATCCCTTGCCTGGGACTTACATGAATCCCAAGGCAGCAGCACTTTTCTGGCTATGCCTCCAAAGCAGTCAGCCATTCTCTTGGCTTTTAGACTCCCACCTGGTAGGAGTTAGACACTGGCAACCCTGTCAATTTCAGCTTTCTCAAAAGTGAGTTGGGCTTCTAAGCCTCTCAGCCTCAGGAAACACTTTTGCTGTCTGAGGGATCTTCTCCTTCTAGCCCAGGGTGAGAGGGTTGCACCTCCTCCCAACTCCCTAAGAGCATGGAAGGCTTGGCAAAATAATGTGCATCCCTCCCCCTCCACCCACCAAGAGATATCTTCTCTGATCTATTTTGTCTCCATTCCCTGACCCTTCTTCTATGTTCTTGATCTAGCTGAGAAGGTTCTCGAGGTCATTTACTTTGAAAATCTTCATAAAATAATTTGGCACCTTTCTTTGGAATTTTACATCTATTATGTTCTTTTGTTTGGTGGAAACTTCAGTTTTCAGATCCTATTACACAAGTAATAAACAAACATTATTCATGAGCCAATCCTTGAACCACAGTCCAGTGGTGTAACATCTGGCTCTACTAAATATTTTTATTCCTGAGTGTATTATTGTGTAAAAATATTGAGGGGAGAGAAAACTTTCCTGACACTTTTACTTAATCCTTGACCAGCTATGCTATTTAGCTCTTGTTAACTGGAGCTATAGGTATACAGAATTCATAAAATAATTTGGAATGCAATATACTGAGTAGGTATAGTAGATATTTTTTTGTGTGGTAGTAGATTGATTCCTCAAGGACATCATGTGGTTCTTGACCACAAAGATCTTTTCTAACACAAGAAAGTGACGAGTCCATAACTCTCTGTCTAGACAAGAGGGCAGGAATGTGGTTCTGCAATACTGAGCCACTAGGAGAGAGATTTTCCCAAATTAACTCCCTCACCAGCTGACCATTCTAAACACAGACCTAATGGGCAGCATAATAGCATGTTTCAGTGAGATTTGAAGGGAGGAGAGGGGGGTGAATGGTTCTATTTTCTGAGGTCAGAATATCCTTACAGGATTGCTGGTGTGCAAAGCAGAGAGAGATGGGAAAGAAACGCTACCCGAGGTCCCCAGATGTGGCGTAACCAGATCATATGTACTGCTGGTTGGCCCTGACCTTTGCAATTGAGGTTGAGAGCCAAAAGGCTTTGTGTTGTTGGGATTTTTCCCTAACTTTTTCTTTGTTTGTGTAAGACCAGGGACGGAAATAGTTGAATAAAATCCAAGAGGCTTTCAGACCTGAATCATGGAATTGAAAGATGCTTGCTTGATGTTTGATTTGCTGAAATGGTAGCCCTCTAAGCTGGTGTCTCATAGCCTTTTTGAACCCATAGTATAGAAGTTTTCCACTTCCTTGAAGAGTGTAATTTTCTCCCTGCTCCCCACCTTGCAACATCCTTGAGATTTATGCGCTTTGTGAAGTCATGACAGCAGAGAAAATATTCTCAGTTTCTGTTACAAAAACAATAGGCATTTGTTGGCTTTCCAAATATATAAACATGTATTATATAATTGTGTGTGCTTTTTCACTCTGTATGACACTTTTCCATGCTAATATACCGACATTTGTACAAAATGTCCTACAATTTCAGAGTGTTCCAAGACCTCCCAAAGGCCATGCATGAACCCCCAAGGGGACTTTCTCCCAACTCTAGATGACTCAGTCATGGCCACCTCATGAGCTCTTTTTCCATCCTGTTGGATATCTCTGTCCCTCTTAGAATCACAGTTTTAGAGCTCTAAGTGGCCTGAGACATCTTGCCCCAGCCCTGCATTTTATACAAATGAATGTCTATAAAATTTAAGCAACTTTCCCAGAGTTACACAACTGTGTCTACGCCGCAGATCCTGAGCAAGAAATCAGGTGGCTGAATTTCCAGTTCAATATTCTTTCCAACGTATTGTCAACTGCTTGAATCTTCTCTATTTTGTCCCATTCCCCCTTAAAGACTACAACCAAAACTACAACGTAACAAATGCCAGTGTAACATACTCTGCAGAAGTACTTTGTATTCTTTTGTATATACTAATATCAAGCTGCCTTATTTTATAGTAGCTCCAAGTCTGAGCAAATATGCAATTGTTATGAACCCCTATTTTTGCCAAGTATTATAAATCATACAGAAGAAACATATATCAGCTCTAACTTCTAGTAGTTTAAAACTTACTGGGGAGACAAAGATGATTCTTATTCGGTTTGTGATCAGCTGTGACCCCTGGGACCTTTCTTGGTGATTTCAGCCCTCCACCCCTCCTGTAACTTACCCCTCTTTGATTGCTTCTATAGCTCATCTGTATCAAGAATGATTTGTGGCCGGGTGTGGTGGCTCACGCCTGTAATCCTAGCACTCTGGGGGGCCGAGGCGGGCGGATTGTTTGAGCTCAGGAGTTCGAGACCAGCCTGAGCAAGAGCGAGACCCCGTCTATACTAAAAATAGAAAGAAATTAATCGGACAACTAAAAATATATAGAAAAAAAAATTACCTGGGCATGGTGGCACATGCCTATAGTCCCAGCTACTTGGAAGGCTGAGGCAGAAGGATTGCTTGAGCCCAGAAATCTGAGGTTGCTGTGAGCTAGGCTGATGCCACGGCACTCTAGCCGGGGCAAAAGAGTAAGACTCTGTCTCAAAAAAAAAAAAAAAAAAAAAAAATGATTTGTGAGGAATATCAGAGAATTCAAAGGTGAATCGTTGGTAAATTTAGTTACCAATAATATAAAAGCTCAAACAGCAATGCAAAGTAGATGGTGTCATTATTTTCTAGGTGGGGGAACTGAGGCTTAGCATGATTATGTGACTTGCCCTGTTGTGATTGCCCAGTTGGTAGTAGGCAGACCAGGGTCTTGCAGCTGAAGTGCCTGGTGTCAGAGCCCACAGGCCTCTTTCCAGTGTATGCAAGCCAGAGTGTAGTAAAGTGGGTAACAGCAAATAGGGCAAAACAGGCTTGTTGTAAAGTATAGTGAAGTTATGGACACTTCACGTTAGCTGATTGTGAGAGGTTTTTGAATGTGTCCACTGTCCTGTGTGTCCTTCCTAAACCTGTGTCAGTTTTTGTGTGAGCAGGGGCCTTATCATGGTGAAGGAGGGATTCCCAGAGGTGAGTAATGGATGGAATACACTCTCTCGAGATATCTTTGTTAAATTCACCTTTTATTTATCTAAGAATTGGGCCTGAAGCAAAGGCAAATGTATCAGAGACTTTGCGTCTCAGGACCTTAGCTGAAAAAGGAATTTAGCATCTACAATTGTCATCTAAAGACAGGTTCCCGGGTCAGGAAGTCTTGGCAAATAGGATCATAAGACTGCGAGTTTATTTGGAGGAGAAAGTTGTGTGCTGGGGCCCACACTTTCGTCAGACTTGGGCAGTGTTTGCAGAGGGTGAACCTGACATCTTTTTGTTTACTCAGAGTATTCTTGTCCTTAAGCTTTTCCATATAAATCACCAGTGCACTGTGGGACAATGTCACTCTTTGTATTTTCCCATAGAGAAGGAGGAAGAAGCAGCAGGGATTTGATAAATTTACCCATATAAAATTGAAAGTGTTTTGCTCAATTGGCATGTACCCATATTTTTTTTAAGCCCAAGGGTGTCCAAAATAAAACTTATTGTAAGTTTTCAACTAGGAAGAAGAAGAAACATGGGAGAAAAAGAAAAAAAAAGTTCAACCGACTTGCACATTAGTGGAGGATGAAAGCAACAGACCATTCCCAAAGAAGCAATCCTAGTTTAAAAAAAGACCTGGTTCTCAAAAGACTGGTGTTGCGTTTTTGCTATATTTGTACCTATTTTGTTTGTAAAAGGTTTTAAAGGTTTATGATGTAATGAAGCAAATATTATTTTGTGGTTGAAAATTAAAGAGTTCTTTTGAGTTTTTGGTCTTACAAGAATTCTGTGGTGCAGTGAGAGTTGTGTGTGTGTTTGCTATGGGAGAGCGGGGAGGAAGATGAGGGGAAAACTCCTTCCTGCATACCAGGTTTACTTAGAAACCATAATCTCTCAATATTTTTTTATTCCATTGATTTGAGATAAAAATAAATGAAGTCTTCCCAAAAATGTATTTCAGGGCCCTGCTAGCATCTCAAATGGAACCAACATTTGCCAGGAATGTTTTCCCTTGTTTTGATGAGCCAGCTCTAAAGGCAACTTTTAATATCACAATTATTCATCATCCAAGTTATGTGGCCCTTTCCAACATGCCAAAGCTAGGTAAGTAATGCTTCTTTTCATTATATACATAATAGAATGAAATACGTTTATATAGTAATAGCTTATACATCAATAGCTTTTCTAGGCAGTGTTCGTGGTGTATTGTAATTGCAGTCTATTATAATTAAGGAGAGCAGTCACCTGGGGCACGTGTCAGCACCCACATCTTGGAGATGGTAAATCCTGATTCTTTTTGTACTGAAGCTGGGAACATTATACTATTCTTACATTAATACATAGGCAGCCTGCCTGCCCGTTAGTTTGGCTTCAGCTATTGATCATTACTGATAACAAGCTGGTGGACTTAGTCTGAATCTGGTGGACAGATGTGTTTTATTTAACCCATATGACTTTTTTCTTTTGATTGAATTAGTTTCCGACTTAAAAAAAATCCAGAGATTTTACATAAAAATCTAAATTTTTACTTCCTTGAAAACTCAGAAGGTCTAACAACACTGAACCTACAATGCTTATGTGTCAGTGATCAGTTACGGCCAAGAAAAGGCTGCCTCCTGCAGACTGGGCCTGTGCCCCACGACCTGCCATGGTCCCCACCAGTCCCTATTAGTGTATACTGGTCCATTTCACATCAAGTGCCTGAGTAGGCATTTGAATTTGTGATTTCAGCTTTAAAGGCCGCAGATTGCTTCCACTGAGGACCTAACTGAAACCTGAGAATGGTGGAACTGTACCTTGTTGACCTACCATGGGCCTGGGCAGCTCTAGATCAAGTGTTGTGAGAAATAGGGTGGACTAGGAAACCATAGAAGTGGGTGGGAGAGAGGAGGCAGATCAGGGGCTGAGCTCACAGTGTTCATGGACTTGGCCCTCAGTCAAGCCCGTATTACTCAAGATGCTGATTCAGGCCTAAGATGCTGTTCTTAGATCTTCCTAATGTAGTTTTCATATCTAGGGGTAGGTAGAGAAATCCAAACTGCTGGACAGACTATGGAAAGCAGTTGGAGGGCCAGGTGCCATGGCTCACGCCTGTAATCCTAGCACTCTGGGAGGCCGAGGCGGGAGGATCACTCGAGGTCAGGAGTTCAAAACCAGCCTGAGCAAGAGCAAGACCCTGTCTCTACTAAAAATAGAAAGAAATTAACTGGACAACTAAAAATACGTAGAAAAAATTAGCCAGGCATAGTGGCACATGCCTATAGTCCCGGCTATGGGGGAGGCTGAGGCAGTAGGATCGCTTGAGCCCAGGAGTTTGAGGTTGCTGTGAGCTAGGCTGACGCCACGGCACTCTAGCCTGGGCAACAGAGCCAGACTCTGTCTCAAAAAAAAAAAAGAAAGTGGTTAGAAAGGAGTAGCTGGGTGACAATTGACTTGACAAGTTATTAGAAAGATAGATTTTATTGCTTAGGTTTACAGTGATTTGGACTGAAATAATTTCTCTAGGTCAGACTGAAAAAGAAGATGTGAATGGAAGCAAATGGACTGTTACTACCTTTTACACCACGCCCCACATGCCAACTTACTTAGCCGCATTTGCTATCTGTGACTGTGACCATGTCAATAGAACCGAAAGGGGCAAGGAGGTGAGTAGGGAAGATTCTCTAGGTAAGGGAGAATGTACTGGCTGCAGATGTTCATCTATTCTTTCTGCATCCAGGGGTTATGCCTGCACATCTCATTGTCACTTCCTGGTTCTCTCTCCCAAGCCCTGTGAAAGCTACTAGTGTGGCTTTGCAGAATTGGACCTAACATTTCCCGCTGTGGCTCTGTGGAGGAGTTTCCATAGAAAGACTGCACATTAAACCCACTCCTCAAGGCACAGTCCAAGTCCCCTATTTCCAGCCTGTTTCTACTTTTGCAGAAGATGGGAGAGAAACAGGAAAGCTGCTGCACTGGCACTTTGACACTCAGGTTTAGTATATGATTTTTACTTAGGCCACAGTGTTAATGTACTCGTGAAGCTGAGATGATACTCAAAATGTGTGGCAACCAACATGGCCTGAGCAAAACAGACACCAGCCAGGAGCAACTGCTGTGGCTGAAATAGTGCATGCAGGCTAAATGTCCTCTCTATCCAGAAGCTGGGCTGCCATGTTCCTCAGCTCTAAGGCGTGCAACACTTCTCCGGAATTGTGTAAAGTGTGTGTATCTGCCTCACATACCTAGTTTTCACTCAATTATACCCTTATTATATAACAACCCTTTAGGAAAATATCAAGTTTATTGTGGCAATGCTTTCTATGCTGGGCCACTCCCTATCATAAAGTGTGGAGGTAAGTAAGGTCAGTGCCTTAGGCCAAGGTCTTTCTAGTCACATCAACTTCATGGGGTTGAGAAAAATCAAGCGCTGTAGCAGGCTGAGATGTCCTCCCGGGTCCTAGATCTTCCGCCATTGACATGTGGAGACAAGGAAGCTGTGGTGAGCCAAGCCCTTCATCAGCAGGAGAATCACTCAAAGCGACACCTCCTACGCTCCTTGTAACCTAATGATGAATTAATAATACTGTGTTATTATTAATTATAGTTTGTTATCTTCCTGAGCTGTTGGCTCCAGCCTGATTTTCCTCATTGAATAATTACTAGCAGATCCTTGACATTCACAGATATAACATTGTCCAAGGCAAATATTCATGACAGATATTGTTAAATCTGCTCAGGCATGAATTGGAAGCACATGCTTCGAGCCTGGCAAGAGGGAGTGGGCCCTGTGGCTCCCAGAGCTAATGAGAGACCCCAGGTGGTCCTTCAGCATCCAGGTCCCAAGTGGCTTGTTGTCAGTACTGCAGCATAGTCAGCAATTCTTGTAGAGGGATAAAATCTGTTTCTTTGTAATGATTACCCTGAAAAGAACACCAGCTTCCATACAGCAAAGAGGAAATGGAGCATGCCTAAGAAAGTCATGTTTTGCCAGCAAAATGAAGTTTGGAGTGAGTTTATCAGTGGAATGTTGCATTTGGCTATGGCTCAGTTCTGCAAAGTGAATGAGTCTACCATATACTCTACAGGAAACCCAAATGTATGCTGGGAACAGTGTCCAGCCTTATAAGAAAGTTGCTCTTTAAGAGATCAGGATTTAGTGAAATCGAAAATGTGGTTAATGTGTGGCGTGAGGATAAACAGAGGAAACATGTAAGTAGGCGTGGAAATAACATACATCGAGTACAATCTAGTGCACATGGCTGTTTGCAAAGATGTTCCTGTTTGGGATGTCAAGATCTGCTGTGCCTAGGGAGGGACACCAGGACACACTGGTTGGACCAGGTGTGATTCTGAAGGACCTTTATAGCTGCGTCTCCAAAATGGTCGTCGTTGGCCTGTGTTCCTCACTGCTCTGCTGGGAGCCACCTAGCGTTTCCTCCAGTTTGAAGTCCTCATCATTTGCCTTACTTTCGGCTTAGAGAGTGGTGATTTATGGGAGAAGCTTTGTAAACTGAAAGTTAATGTACACATATTAATTGTTATTGCTATTATTTTCCAAAAGGCTAACATTAAAATGCAGACATCTCAACTGTGGGGAGAGCTATGACTTCCACTAGCGTGGCGCTTGGTTGAGCAGCTTCCTAACTGTGGCCTCTGAACTCAGAACTGGAACGGGGGAGGGTGAGTTTAGTGCAGGGGCAGGGCCGAGTCTGGGGCCATCTTTCCCAGCACAGTGAGGCCTCTGCAGCAGCGGGGAGGCTGAAAGCAATGAAGGGGACCAGGCAGGAGCCTCAGAAACAGGTGGTTGCATTTTGTGAAAGGGGAGCATTCCTGAATCCTCACGTAATTTAGAAGTTGCCTAATTCAAGACAAATTTCCCAGAAGAAATAAAAGCAAAGTAAGGTGAAGGTATTTTGGAGTGCACAAATCTGCAAATGTTGTTATTCTGCTTTTCCTTTTCTTAGCATTTTCTCCAGTGTTTTTCAGAGAGCTCTTTCTTAAATTAACTGCACTCCCATCAGGACAAGTATTTTAATTCTTTCACCTCTAACTTTTGTTCCAAGATTTTTGAGTTTTATGCATGTTTTTTTAGCATGAATGCTGGCAATTCTACTAAAAATCATTTAGATAATATTATTGTAGAGTATACAGTGCTTTCATATTACAATAATAATGTTAAAACAACAGCATATTAGTCACCAAAATCCCACAGATAAGCTCCAAGTACCCAAACAACAGTGTGGTTACCTAAAACCGACAAAATATACGAGAGATTTTCTTTTCCTTGCTGAAGTGGAAGTGTCATTTGGCAATAGAATAAATAACCAGCCAATATAATTCACTTGCTTCAGCTTTAAAATCATAAGACTTTCGATGATCTTTTTTAAATTAGAGGAATTAACCTGATTTCAAATTTTGGAAATAAGGTAGAGCTATTAATGTTTTAGTTATCAAACTACTTTAAATTTGCATGATTCAAATTTGCTTAATATGTTCCATACTATATAACCCCCACTAAACCACAATTCTGTTTTGGATCTTAGAAATGTGTCCTGAAAAGGGAAGCAAGAGTCCAAGGTGCATAAAATGTGTATAGAATCTACATTTACTGTAGCAGTAGATGGTGGTGTGGACCATTCCAAGGATTGTTTTGTAATTTCAGAGTTATGCATGTTATTGTCAGAGATTGAAATAACATACTTTCCAGAGCAATCACTGTCTATAGCTTGGTGAACAGCCTTCTGGGTTTTTCTCAGCACATGTATACATTTAAACATTACGTAGCTTCTTCTGAAAAGTTAAGACTTTAGCTCTAGAGCAGCAGGGATTTGGAGCAAGCAGGCTTCTGCTTTCCAAAATCACTACTGCCTTTCCTAATTACTGCTAACTGTCTCAACTGTTTTAATTTAGATACGCATCTGGGCCCGGAAAGATGCTATTGCAAGTGGAAGTGCAGACTTTGCTTTGAACATCACAGGTCCCATCTTCTCTTTTCTGGAGGATTTATTTAATATCAGTTACCCTCTTCCAAAGACAGGTGAGGCACCTTCCCTTCCAATGCAATTGGTTTCCTGTTATTTGGGTCCTGGGTTGAGGTCACTGGGTACACAGATGAACCTTTGAGGATGTACCATCACCATTTAGCTGCTATTTTGGAGTTAGCCTCTTGGCCTCCCATCATTATGTCTTAAACCTTCCAAAACACACAGAAGCCTGTCTGCTTTTTCTCTGTTCGGTGCCTTGTGCCCAGCAGGTGCTGAACATCTCTTAGATTTTAGATTCCTCTTGGGTCTCAATGGCAGCCTCTCCTCCTCCAGACCCTGCTTTTTCTCTTGTGTTTTCTCTCATAATGCAAATACGCAGTGCCATGTTCTGGATCTTTTTAGCTAGTGGGCTTGCATAAGTTACTCCAGTTCCCTTTGGTAAGTTTTCTTTTTTTTTTTTTAATATTCTGTAGCTGTGAGTTATTGGATTAGGACTTAGAGGTCCCATATGTGAATTTTCATTGTACAAAATTGGAATCATATGTGAATATAGTATGATTCTTGAGGAAATATGTAAATATTTAACCTCTCACAGATCTGTATGGTATGTCTTTAAAATTGTATGAGCCACTCAGGTCAGAAAGTTGTTCAATGTTTTTTCTCTCTCAAGTGAGACATCATGGAAATGTATTTTGTTCCTCTGGCATGCTAGTTGAAGTCTTGAAAAAAATATGCTGTGCCTATATTGGTAAACTATCAAATCTGGTCCACTACCTGTTTTTGTGTGGCCCATGAGCTAAGAATGGTTTTTACATTTTTAAATAACTGAAAAAAAAATCAAAAGAAGAATAATACTTTGTGACACATGAAAATTATATGAAATTGAATTTCAGCATCTGAAAATAAAGTTTTACTGAAACACAGCTTGCTAGTTGCTTGCATGGTGTCTATGACTGCTTTTGCACTGAGATGTTAGAGTTGAGTATATGAAAGAAAACACATATCCCATAAAGATGAAAATATTTACTATCTGGCCCTTTACAGAAATATTTGCCAACTCCTGCTCTGAAGGGTTAAGTGGTGGATTCGTGTGTGTTTCTATTACTATTATAAAATAATAAGTTAATCATTAAAATAAAGCAGGGTCATGTGTGAACCAATGATGATAGTTTATTAAGAAACAAGCATTTTGCTTAAACTAATTCTATGCATCCAAAGTAAAAAAATAGTTTTGAAAATAATCATCTTGCACTTAGCAACATGCCTTTATGGTTCCTCCATGTCTTTTCATAGCTTGATAGCTCATTTCTTTTTGTTGCTGAATAATACTGTATTGTATGGATGTACCACAGTTTATCCACTCACCTATTGAATGGCATCATGGTTGCTTCCAACTTTTAGCAATTGTGAATAAAGCTGACATAAACATTTTTGTGTGGGTTTTTTGTGGACACACATTTTCAGCTCATTTGGATTAATACCAAGGAGTACAATTATTAGATCTTATGTTTAGTTTTGGAAGAAACTGTCAGGCTGTCTTCCAAAGTGGCTGTACCATTTTGCATCCCCACCAGCAGTGAATGAGAGTTCCTGTTGCTCCACATCCTTGTCAGCATTTGGTGTTGCCAGTGTTTTGGATTTTAGCCATTCTAGCAGTTATGTATCTCATTGTTGTTTTAATTTGCAATTCTCTAATGACAAATGATGTTGAGCATCTTTTCATATGTTTATTTGTTATTTGTATATCTTCTTTAGTGAGGTGTCTGTTCAGATCTTTTGCCCATTTTATAATTGGGTTATTTTTCTATTTTTGAGTTTTAAGAGTTCTTTGTATATTTTGAATACAAGTCTTTTACTGAAAATATTTTATTTTAATATAGTCAAAACAATTTATTTTCTGGCTTCTGTCTTTGACAGTAGTCTTTAAAAATGCTTCTCTCCCCTCAGGTTATAAATATTCACTTGTATTATTCAGTAATATTATGATTTCATTTTGAAATATTTATATCGAGAAATCCCAAATTTTCTTGGAAGAGATGATTTTATTTTTTCCTCTATTTAAATCCACTTAGATATAATTGCCTTGCCTATTTTTGACAACCGTGCAATGGAAAACTGGGGACTGTTGATGTTTGATGAATCATTATTGTTGCTGCAACCAAAGGATCAACTGACAGAAAAAAAGACTTTGATCTCCTACATTATCTCGCACGAAATTGGACATCAGGCATGTGGTAAAATGTTCTTTCTTATTTCCCATGAAAGTATTCTCCAGCTGCTTTACCAAAAATAGCAAAAAAACCAAAATGCCCTGCCATATACCAAATTTTAAAAAAGAAAATCAGTATTCGAAAAGTGTGATGGCCGGTAAAAACAAGGAGGGTTATACGTAATCAGATTCTGGCTAGATTTAAGCTATTCGTGGTGGATTATAGTGCTGAGACCTTATGGTCCAGCTGAGGGTTGAGTATTTACATTTAAAGATTAAATTGCTCCACAAAGTCCTCTTCGGAAAAAGTAGCCACACAGAGCTAGGAGTATTTGATTTTCATTCCACCTGAAAGTAAGGGATATTCAAAAGGATCACTGGAGGACACCTGCATTTCATCAGTAGATTGCTATTAATTTTACTTTTTGTTGGTGTTGGCTAGAGGTTAAGTGGACACAGGCAGCATGTTAGTGAGGTGAGCAACAATTAATCCTTGAGCCACATCCCCAAAGGTAGTGTAAACAACAATCCGTTTCATCAGATCTGTATGCTTTCTTTCATATTGCGATTTTAGAAGTTTAGCTGTTTGATTTGATGGAGATTTTCACATCTGCATTTTGTTCTTTATGCATTAATACAAGTTTATGAGAAAGAAATCATCTCAATCATGAAAGTGTTATCCTCTTAGTTATGTGGCTGCATGAGAAGTTCTGGAAAAGAACAACTGACTGGGATTGAATAACACTCTGGTGCACAGTCAACACACACTTTCACAAGTTTGGGTCAGTCACCTTAAGTGTCATTTTTTATTATAGCCTAAGTGACACATTGTTTTGGAATACAGGCTGCTAACTATTAGTACATCACAGCTGTTACAAGAATTTGGTTAAATACCAGAGCATGAGTTAGTTGGTTTTGGAAATCATTCTGTTTTTCTTTCCTAATTATGTTCATCATCCTTTTGGCACTTTTTTTTCCTGTTCGGCTCAAACAGAAAATAATTACAACTGGAGAAGGTTACAGAGCATATGACTGCTTGAGTGATTTGCATGTGGTACATATCATGTTCTTAAAACATAAACAACTGCTCATAGCAAAATCCTGTTGTAGCCTATTTAGAGTATAAGGTGCTAGAGTTAGTAGGTGATAGGTCAGCTGAATTCAGGGCTTCTGCTTTACTTAACTAAACACAACTTTTGGGCAAAGCGGATAGTTTAAGAAATGTTAGTCTAGCTGATCTTATGTTTATAAATCATGGTTTTAAAACAAAAATTGCTGGCCGGGCATGGTGGCTCATGCCTGTAATCCTAGCACTCTGGGAGGCTGAGACGGGAAGATTGCTTGAGCTCAGGAGTTCGAGACCAGCCTGAGCAAGAGTAAGACCCCATCTCTACTAAAAATAGAAAAATTAGCCAGGCATCATGGCATGTGCTGGTAGTCCCAGCTACTCGAGAGGCTGAGGCAGGAGGATCCCTTGAGCCTCAACCCGAGTTTGAGGTTGCAGTGAGCTATGATGATGCACTCTACTCAGGGCAACAGAGCAAGACTCTGTCTCAGTCAATCAATCAACCATAAAACAAAAATTGCTTTCAATCATTGGATATAAGATAATCGTTTCAAAGAAATGCATGGCTGATATCTCCTCATGATAAAACAAGCTTTTTGGAGTCCTGTTTTCAAATTTTATTACTGATGGTGAATAACGTTAATTATGTCTTTTGACCCTACGTTTATTTAACACGCATTACTATAAAGATAATTTTAAAAGAAAGCTGTTTTCTTTCATCTCCAAAAGTGGTTTGGAAACTTGGTTACCATGAATTGGTGGAACAATATCTGGCTCAAGGAGGGTTTTGCATCTTATTTTGAATTTGGAGTAATTAACTACTTCAATCCTAAACTCCCAAGAGTAAGTATGTTTGTTAAATTTATTAACATATTTTCTCCTAATTATAAAAGTAATGCATATTTATTATTGAAAATGTATAAAATACTGAAAAATACAAGGAATATTACATTATCTATAATACCAAAGATGATCTATATTATCTTTTTGATATGTTTTAATTCCAAGATTTTGAAACTAGGAATTACATAAAAATTTGTAATGCTTTATATACTTCATATTATCTTATGAACATTTCTACAAATCATTAAATCTTTTCTGAAAAGATTTTTAATGGCTGCCTAATAGTTTATCACCTTATAAGGTGTTTGTATATAATTTTTCCCTTTTGTTGGTTTTTAGATTATTTTCACTTATTTCTAGCTAAACTAAATTTTAAAGCAGTTGTAATCGTGGTCTATGACTTTAATGGTAAGTAATATGCTACTTTTAGTGACTCATATTTAATATTATTGCTGATATTTTTGGGCTAATTTGAGTAAATAGTAACATTGAAAAATAAATTCATGGAGATGCAAATCTGATTATTTCAACTGTAGGTTATATTTCCGATATTTAATTTATTGGAGTAATTAGGTAGTGCTTTCAGAATGGCATGATAAAGCCAAATTGATTTGATTTGATTTAGACATTTAAATGTTTATACTTACTGCTGACCTCACTTCTTTAGCAAACTAGAGGTCCTTTCTCAGTTCACGTCCTCTTTCCCCCTTCGTTCTGCCTCCTGGCACCTTGCCGTGTTCCTTCCAGCTACCCTTCGCTGGCCTCTGCCTTTTCTCGCCTCCCAGCTGTTCCAAGGCTAGAGTCTTGACTTCTTTTCTCCTCCCTACCCTCACTCATTCAAAGAGCTTAATATTTGAAATGCTGACATCCACTTGCCAGATCTTCTTCACAGACTAAATCTATTCATTTTAAAGGAGAGTCTGAGATTATGTTCTTTCTATTATTTTGGTAGTAAAATTTCCTTCTTTTATGAAAGATTGTGATAGTAGCTAAGTGGTTCTTGTTTTTGTTGATTGTCAGAATAAAAAGTTGGCAAACCTGTCTTGGCCCCATAGAAACCTTTTAAAAAATCTCTTTTTATCTGTTTGTGAAATCACAGAGTCTAGGAAGCACTGAGGCTCTTAAGACCTCAGTTCTATGCCACCCACCCTACCCTTTGCGGACGTCCTGTAAGCTGTCCCAGGCCCCAGCCCAGTCTCCCTGCAGTGCTTCTCTCTCCCTCGCCTGGACGGTGCACAGGCCCTGCTTTTCACGGAGAGGACTTTGGACATCATTATATAGATCAGGAGACTAAAGTCCTGAAGGGTTGTTATATGACTTGCCCAAGGTCATTTGCCTCATTGGGACAGAACTGAGATTATAACCCAGTTGTCTGGGCCTAGGCTGATGATGAGGATAATGATAACAATAATACTGTGTATACTAGTCACCAAATATTTAGCACTTAAGTGCCAGACAGTGTGAATTCTATACATAATCTTACTCAGTCCTGAAAACAGCCATATGAGTATTGTTGTTATTTCTGTTCTACAGATGAGGAAACTGAGGCATAGAGACCAAGTAAGTTGCCCAAGGTCTCATAGTTACTAAATGTCAGAGCTGAGGTTCAATTCAGGTCTTCGTGACTGCAAAGCCCATGCTTTTAACCGCTGTGCTCTATGGAGAAAACACACAAGAGTGTTCTTACCCTCCAGGAGCTAAGGATGTGTGTGTGTGTGTCTGTGTGTGTTATTATATGATTCTTTTCATATACAAATTTTATGTACATACAGTAAATGTTTGTTCTTTTCAGAAGTCCTTTCCTCATACTCTCTATCTACAAAACTGTTTGTATCTGTTTTATAACTTTTATTCACACATGGTTAGTGCTGTGTATAACTTTTGTTTTTTTTTTTTTTGAGACAGAGTCTCACTCTGTTACCCAGGCTAGAGTTCTGTAGTGTCAGCCTAGCTCACAGCAACCTCAAACTCCTGGGCTCAAGTGATCCTCCTGCCTCAGCCTCCCGAGTAGCTGGGACTACTGGCATGCGCCACCATCCCCGGCGAATTTTTTCTATATATTTTTAGTTGTCCAACTAATTTCTTTCTATTTTTAGTAGAGACGGAGTCTCACTCTTGCTCAGGCTGGTCTCAAACTTCTGATCTCAAAGGATCTGCCGCCTCGGCCTCCCCGAGTGCTAGGATTACAGGTGTGAGCTGCCATGCCCGGCCCTGTCTATAACTTTTTGAAAGCATTTGATTGTATACCAAATTAACTCTGTGCTTAGAGTCAATAAGGGAAGAAGTTTAATTCTCATAAAACAATGAAATTTACCCTCTATTTTTCAATTTCAGTTCCCTCTTACAGCAACTAAAATCGCTAAGATATTATCAGTATTTGGCAAAACTTGATGAAAACAAATTACTGATATTTTTGAAGCTAAGATCACCATATTAGTCTCTTTTTGTACCATTATTTCTTTTTATGATTGGTTCCTTAACCACTCTTTTCTGAGCCTACTGTTCTCAGTTGCTTGTGAAGCTGAGTGATTATATCCTTGCCAGAAAGCATCAGATCCTGATGCTTCAGGAGGTTTCACAAGCTTTGTTTTTAAAAAGCTTAAGCTCTTGCTTCAATGATCTCTGGAGATCAAGAACTTTGGCTTCCTTTTAATCTAGCAATTTGATTGAAATTGAGTAAGGGAGTCACAGAACCATATGCAGAAACAGATTTTCTATTTTTTTCTATTTCTTGGTCCAATTTCAGCTGAAAGTCATTAAAGCATGATATGAATGGGTCATGGTCAAGGGTTGAGAACATCAAGGACCAAGGGTTTCTTGGTACCTGAAGCTCCAGTCCTGACACCGCCACTCACTGACTTTTCTTTGTCTCTTCTTTGTCCTGATCTAAGGAAGCAGCAGATTGGGTGAAGGGAAAGCGTACATATGGGCTCTGCAGCCAGTCAGATATTGCTCTGCCTTTACCGTAAGCTGAGGCCAGCAGATGGACCCCTCTGAGCTTCGGTTCCTCGTCTGTAAAATGAGTTTCATGCAGTCATTCAACAGATTGTTGAGCATCTGCTATGTACAGTTGAGGCAACTATGATTAACTAAGCTGTGGTTACATGCTTACAGAATATTATATTCCTTACCTTTTCAATCCTTAGAGCAACTCTGAAGAAACAATAATAAAAATGATGATAGGTAATCAGAGCAGTAGTTAACGCTTATTGAGCAGGTCCTGTTTGCTAGGGATTGTGCTGAGAACTTTATGTAAATTAATTGAATTCTCATAATAGTCCAATGAGGACAGCGTTATTTTTCCCATTTTCAGATGGCGAGACTGAGTTTCAGAGAGATAAATTTGGTCGACTTTTATGAGGCACACAACTCCTAAAGGGCTGAGGTAGGATTCAAATACAGGCAGCTTGACACCAGTCCTGTGTTTTTAACCACTATAATATTCTACACAAATACTTAGAAATACAACACTTACATGTTATATTTCTAAGTATAAGAATAGAGTTTAGTAAAAATAGATCTCTGGGATATCACAACTTGCAGGACAAAATAATGGTGAGTATACAGATCCATTTTGTCACTATATGCAGTGGTTAAATATTATTATTATTATTTTTAAAGCCGATATCACTTTTATATAGTGTTTCCTCCAGCAGAACTGGAACAGGCTGGGGACAGCATCACTTTATGGGAGGCCTAGAGTAGAAAGACCCCTAAGGTGTTGAGGAAGAGGTGTTTGCCTCATTCATCAGTTATCTTGTTTGGTTACAGTGATACCAAGAAGATTGTGTAAAACCTTATGCCAGGCAGGTAGAGGAGGGACAGACAATCCATTCAGGGGGGAGGGGGCATAAAATAGGGAAGAGGCAATATGTACAAAAATGTTCATTAAAACTAGTTGTAACAGTAAAAAGTTACAAGCAGCTTAAATGTCTAACTAATAATAGAGAAATGACTAAGTCAATAGTGGTCCATTGACCCAACAGGGATATTATGCAGTTGTGTACAGTTATTAATTTTAATGTTTTGCTTTTGCAAAAGTTTTACCTGCTATACTTTGAAAAGAAGAAAATCACTTATGATTTGACCACCCTGTGTAATTACTATTAAATTTCAGTTTATGTCCTTCCAATTTATATTTCTGGGTTTTTTTAAATCATGCAGCAGCCCTTATAAAGGATAGTTATAAAGATGAGGTAGCAAAATTTAAAAAATGTTATAATAAGTAAATAAGCAGGATAAAAAGTTTTAACAACTATGGGAATAAATAAATACATAAAAAAGATTTGAAAGAACTATACTAACATCGTAATGATAGTTGGGGTGTGAGATTATGGGTGTTTTTTATTTTCTCTGTTTTCTCCATTGTGCTTATATGATGCAGATCGACAGTGATACACTCTCAAGAACTCTTGAATGTTAAACTAATAAAATCTAGGCGTAATGAATAGGATCAAACCTATGCAGATGACTGTTTTAAATCCTTGCTACTCAAAGTGTGGTTCTCAAACTAGCAACATCAGCATTATTGGGTAGTTCATTAGAAAGACAGGCTCCAACCCAGACCACCTGAATAAGAACGTGATTTCAACAAAATTCCCAGGTGATCCTTATTTACGTCAAAGTTTGAGACATACTGCTTTCTCATTTCTACAAGAGCAAAGTTTGATAATAGTCTAATCAATGGTATTACTAATCTAAAAATAATGGGCTAATAGGAAAGGGTTGATTGGAACATTGGCAAATCGAAGTGGAATAGAATTTGAAAATCTGACATTGTCGAGGGATGAGAGAGTCAACTTGGAGACACCAAAGACAGTCACTGGGGACTTGAGGCTTCACGCGGATCATGAGGACTTCCCCTGGCTCTCTGGCCTGTGAACATATGTCTGTACCACTTCTTTACTTCTCTACTTCTTCATCCCAAACCCCTCTTTGGCTATAAATTGATTTTCTTTTTAGCTTTATTTCAGGGAGAAATTGCCCTTGTCATGCATCTAAGAGAGATCTAGTCTTTTGGAGAGTTCTGTGGTTCCCATTAAAATATAATAAATTACCTTCTCCTAATGCATGGCCCATAAACCGTAGTATCCAGTCTATGGATTTATTTCCAATTTTATTACATCAGCATCTTTGTGGATTTGTAAATCTGGCATGCTTTTGGTTTGTAAATGTCTATGTAAAAGAGACTGATCCATTTTAAGGAGTTACTGAAAAAATAAAATAAAATTCTAGAGGATTAACACCACCTACAGATGCTATTCCCCGGAAGGCCCAGTCAGGGTGGCCACCTCCTTAGGGGAAATGCAGGTGGCTCTTGGAAGACACATTAACTTTTGTAATTGATTTTTTTAAGAATCAAAATAAAAAAGGATACAAAACGGGAAGGAAAGTGTCCTACAGTTTTGTTATTCAAGGAATCCTGACTTATTTGGCATATTGTGATTTAGACACTTCTCAATTATTGATTTTTTCCCTCTTCAGTATCTGTTTTTGAAAGAATTTTAGGACCATTGTGTTTCTGTGACACTTCAGAAGTTAATGTGGTTCAATCTTTTCCTTTATAGAATGAGGTCTTTTTTTCTAACATTTTACATGGTGTCCTCAGTGAAGATCACGCCCTGGTGTCTAGAGCTGTGTCCATGAAGGTGGAAAATTTCGCAGAAACAAGTGAAATAAATGAACTCTTTGACTTATTTACTTACAATAAGGTAAAAAGCATTTATAAATGTCCTTTTGTTTACTTACAACAAGGTAAAAAGCATTTACAAATGTCCTTTTGTTTAGTACTCTTGTAGAAAGTTGCATAAAATGGGTTCTAAGTGTTATAGATTGATATGCGACTTAAAACTTTTGATACAGACACCCTTAATTTTAGTCAACAGATGGGTTTCAGAAAACATGATTAAGTTTTCTCACTTTGCATATTTTAGTCTAACCATATTAGACACTTGATACCATCTACCATTATAAATAGACTTAAACAACTAGCTACTTTTAAGGTGAACCCTTCCATTTGATGGAAATTTACTTTTGCCATGTAAATATCTCAGTTTCAAAAAATTTTTGTGTTTGCTGAAGTCTTTATATGTAGGACATTTGCTTACCTTTTACCTCTTAATTAGTGACAGTCTACTATTTTCTTAGCATATTTTGGTATAATTCAAACATTCAACTAAAGTGTAAAATGCAATTAGGAGCACAGACCAGAATGTTGCTTATAAAAATGGAATGTGTCAGTATGTAGATATTGAATTTTGTTTAAATAATAGACAGCTTCTTATGTCCTAGGGAGCGTCTATGGCCCGGATGCTTTCCAGTTTCTTGAATGAGCATTTATTTATCAGCGCACTCAAGGTGAGTGTACAAAATAGTTGTTACCTAGAGAGTGATAAGCATAAAGTGCTTTGCCACATTATTTATTTTACCTATAACTTTTCTATTTCTATAGTCATATTTGAAGACATTTTCCTACTCAAATGCTGAGCAAGATGATCTGTGGAGGCATTTTCAAATGGTAATTGTCCTACTTTCTGATACATTCTTGCTGAGTTGTTTCGTATGATACTGTCCAACAAGATAGGGAACCCATGGGTAATGGCAGTTCCACAGGAAAACAATTTTTCCTCATTGTGAAACTCCCTTAGGACAGGGAGTCTTTAGTCTTCACTGTATTCCCATAAATATGTGTTCAGGGAATAAATGGATGAATGAAAGAAACAGTGGCAAATAGAGATAAACAGAGTTCTGAATGTGACCCAGAATATTGCACGCTGGGGAGCACTACATAAATGAGGAATAGAATAGCTACCTAGTGTATTTTAGGAGATTGCTACTTCAAAAGTTTTTGCTGGTGACCAGATCTGCTTTTGTGATGATTTTTTTAAAAACAGGCCATCGATGACCAGAGTAAAATTCTTTTGCCAGCAACAGTAAAAAGCATAATGGACAGTTGGACACACCAGAGTGGTTTTCCAGTCATCACTTTAAATGTTTCCACTGGTGTCATGAAGCAGGAGCCATTTTATATTGGAAAGTTTAAAAATCAGACTCTTCTTACCCACAAGTAGGTAGCTTTGCTCGTATTTGACTTCCTCTTCTTTGGGGTAGAGCTCTGATCCAATGGGAACCAGTCCATGGGTGAAGAACCCTAACCCCTGCTGGGCACATACCTTCTCCAAAGCGACTGTGAGCTAGGGTGAGGCAGAGCCCCTGAGTCCTGCACATGGCCAGAGACCTGCAGTTAGGGATTCAAGGCAGTGCCCCTACCCTGGGATTTAAGGCCACACCAGCAGCCAAAGCTTTGGGATGTTGTATATTCCTGTTTGTCCTTCACACAGAGGTAATGAATTACTTGGGATTCTGAGAGGGAGGCAGTAAGATAGAGCCACAGGTGGCTACACGTTAGTTAAGAGAAAAGGGAGTCCCGTTGCAAAGTAGTCTTCTCCTCCCTAGAAACAAAACTGAATGGGAACCATATCCTTGAGGAGTAGCTCTGTGTATGTGTGTGCACAGGTGGTGTGTATTTGTAGCCATACCTACAACATTAGAATTACGGCCTTTGGAGTCAGACCTGGGTTGAAATATGGACTTCACTCAAATTCAAACCTTAGGTATTATTTAAACTCTCTGAGTTGCCTTATCTATAAAGTAAACGTAAAAGCATATATACCAGGGGATTGCGTAAAAATGAAATGATGAGCATAAAATAGGCTAGCCTTCATCACTTCCTTTTTCCTTTCCCTTTCTTGATTTGTTAGATAATTTTCAGCTGTTTTTCATAGTTTTGATCCTCACATCTCATTGTAATCTTGGCACAAATGAGTAATTAATTTTCAAATATCACCATCAAAATTTCAGGTGATTCTACTCTTTCTTTAAAACCCCAGGGGAGAGAAACAGGAGACTGAACGTTTCCTTCTCACTGTAATATTCTGTGCCCTTTGAGAAGAGGTGTGCACCTTAGCGATGCAGATAAACACAGACCCACAGTTGGAAGTCTTTGAGAAACCAGGCTCGTGGGAGAATTGGAGCAAGATTGGAAACACTGCCCAAACTCTGAGTAGCATGTCTCTTTGGATGACTAACGTGCTCCCTGTGGTCGGCTCCTTCATCCAAGTCACATCCACCAATGTGGGAAAAATGTGGGCATTCAATAAATATAAATGTCCTGGCTGATTCTGGTTGAATACTTTTCAGATGGAGAGCAATCTTGAAGCTGAAAAGTATTTTGAAGTGTTTGTCAAGCTTTTTTTCACTTCTCTGGGCACGGACAGATTTGGGTTTGTCTGCGGCATTTGAATGGCCTTGAGTGAAGCCAGGTGACAATAATTTAACATGAACAGGACTGGAAGAGTTCACATACAAGACAGTCTTAGTAGCTACCTAAGTTATAAAAAGAAGTAAATTTATAAGACACAAGAAAAATGAGAGGAGTAAACTAATAGCCTAAGCAAAGCTGGCTTGTAAAAACAACAGCAAGTAATCCTAAGAACCAAGTCCTGCATATCCAGAGGGAATGACCAAAGAACTTGACTTCTGTCTGCTATGTTATCATCTCTTCCATACTGGCTCAGAGTGTATATTCTTACGTGTGAAAATTAACTAAACTTTTGACTTTCTTCCAATAAGTGACACATGGATTGTCCCTATTCTTTGGATAAAGAATGGAGCTACACAGTCCTTAGTCTGGCTAGATAAAAACAGCAGTAAGTAACAAATCTTAAAAACATCTTCGTATATGTACATATATAAAGGCATTTAGGATAATGATAAAATGTTGAAATGGCTAACTTTTGAAAAGCTACCTCATTTAAAGCTAAAATATCATTCTTGTTGAACGTAGAGCTTTAAAAAACAGTGTCAAATCAAAAGCCATTCTATGTGAATAATATAATTATGTGATAAGATCAATATATATTATAGAATTCCTTTATTATTTGTTTTATTGGTTTATTGTTTAGAATTAAAAGTGTTATGAATAAATGTGTATTGAAATCTTTAAAAAATCTATCATTTCAAGCTATTCCCATATTCCTTTGTAGAAGTATTTCCTGAAATGCAAGTTTCAGATTCTGACCATGACTGGGTGATTTTGAATTTAAATGTGACTGGATATTATAGAGTTAATTATGATGAATTAGGTTGGAAGAAATTAAATCAACAGCTTGAAAAGGATCATAAGGTAAGGTTATTTTTTATACTTTTAATTAAATATAATTCACAATGCCTTCTCTAGCCTTTTAGAGGTTGAGCTTTCCAGCGGGAAGAGACTTCACTCTCTCATTCCCACCCCCTCACTCCCAGGCATATTGGAGAGAGCTTTTTCCTTACTCTTAGAAAGGGGAGATTTTGGTTGAATGTGTTGTGTTTTTGAACATTCATTTGCTTTTCCAAAACAATTTTACCTTTCCAGGTAAGAATCAGAATACATTTTCCTATTAATCATTAGATTTATAATCTTTGGCAAGTTACTTAAATGTTCTGGTTCCATTTATTCACTTTAAAATGGAAATATTATCCTATCATATTCCTCATGAGGATTAGAGGTAATGTAGGTAAAAGTATACTTAAAATTTCTAAGCCTCTAATAGGTACTCAGTATATGCTAAAAAATATTAATTTTTCTCCTGAAACCATATTTCCACCCTCGCTTGGAAGAGAGAATTTAATCCACAAAATATCAGTAATAGTCCAATATCACTTTATATTATGAAACAACTGTAAATCATTATGCAATGTATAAGCAATAAAATGTTGGCCAGCTCTAATTAATTAGATTTTAATTGGTTAAATTAAACTACATCTCCATCGGTGGGGACGGACGCTGCCTTAGGAATCTGTACAGTTGGCTTTGCTGTGACTTGCTTTGAGCCCTTGGGTGGTTCACTGGGACACCATTTGCAAGACTGTAATGTTTAACTAAAAAACATCTTAAGTGTCTCCATGTTCTAAAGTTCTCTGAGACATGCAGCAGACTCTCTAGCAGAAAAGGCAGTACGGATCTTCTTCCAGAAGTTGGGTTCTAGGTCAGGAAGTCTTGTGTTCATATGTTGCTCATAGTTTGCAGATGTGTGACCTTGAGCCTCTCATTTGACCAGTTGTACCTCAATTCCTTAACTGTATCATAATGGATGTAATAGGCCAACCTTAAAGGGGCGTTGTGAAGATTAAATAAGATGATACGTGTTATGTTTAACAGAGGCCTGACACAACTCAGGTGCTCAGAACACATTTGGTAAGTTTTAAGAAAATATTATTGAGATTTTGAATAAAGCTATAAAAATCACTTATAATGGTATTTTCTTTTCAAATCTTTTTCTGAGTGGCTAAATTCTTACTAGTTTCTAAGGATACTCTAAGCCATGGAAACATTAGGTTATGCCATGATAGTAATGTTTCCTTGAAACTATTATAGACTTACTTACTGAAAAACTGAGGTAAATTATTTCTACAACATAATTGGTGAGCAACTAAAACAATTTTTATTATTAATATTAATCTATAAAATCCAGCTATTATTCCTGTCAGAAAAGAAATTAGACTACTATCAACAGAAGAATTAAACTTGACTTGCTCAGATGTTCAAAGGAATGTTGTGAAGATGAATTTACTACGACCAAATATATCAAAGGGCAGAGAGGAGTTGAAAGAATGCTATAGAAGGCTTTGGGCATCCTCAGGCGACTGAGCTGAGATCAGAGTCCCTTGACCGGGCAATGCTAAGAAGTTCAAACAGAAGCCTAAAGAGTTAGGTTCACAACTGGCCCCTGCCTTTCCATGGATATCAAGGGATCTGTTGTAGTATCATGTCACCTTAGTAAATGCTCAAGAAGAAGACAGATATCATTTAAAAGAATTTAGTACCTCAATATTGCCAGAGTAGTGTTAAATAAATAATATTTATTTAAGGCCTCCTATGCCAAAAACTCCCCTGAAAATAATTGGGACATTGTAATATAACTTAATGTATACTTTTTGTTTTGGAGAGGCCTTTTAAATTTAGTGGCCTATTTCATTTTTTTAACATGGTACATTTCAGGGAATATTTTGGCAAAATCCTCTGCCATTTTTGAACCTTATGATTGATGTCCAGAGGGACCATTTATAAAAAACAGATGTATAATAAATAAATCATGGGGACTATCCTTAGTAATTATTATTTCTCTGCAGATGAGATAATTCATATGAAGGTGCTTTGCATGCCACAGTGATCTTTAAATTGTTATTTTGAAAAATTTTTATGAAAAAAATGTTCTCATCTGTTTTTGCATGCATTTGGATCTAATTCTGCAGGCTATTCCTGTTATTCACAGACTACAGTTGATTGATGATGCATTTTCCTTGTCTAAGTGAGTATATCTTCTTCTCTGATGGTTTTAGAGTATACCTTAAGAACCTTATAAAAATAATAGCCTCATCACTATGAATTTGGTTCTTTAGTATATGCAGGCCCTAGCTGATTATGATTAGGATCAAATTCTATAGTCATAGTGGAATTTTATAACATAATGAGTTGCTAGAAATAAATAGACTGTCAATTGAGATTTTGAAGTGATTTCTGTTACCCAAGGGTGATGGCTGTAAGTATAATTTTAATGAGATCTGGCCTTTTAATATGTTGCAGAATTATTGATTTTATGTATATTGACTCAGTGTAAGCCATGTTGTTAAATATTGAGCCAGATAAATTAATAGATGTTCAGAATTGAAATTTTCAGGCAATACAATTAAGGAGTAATATAATGAATTTTCTACTGTCTCCTTTCTTTCTTTGGACTGTCGTGTTTCTTGAATAAATGTCTATGTATTTTATCCTTCATTTCTTTACTGCTTTTTCCCTCTGCGACCTGCAGCACATGTCCTTGCCAATCCTTTGCTGAAACTCCTCTCTAAGATCACCATGACTTTGATACTATTGACAACGTCCTCCTGGAAACATCCTTTTTGGCTTCCTGAGACTCTGATATGCAAACCTAGTTCCCCTTATATATCTGACTTTTCTTGCTGTGAGCATCCTTCAGACCAATTATGGTTATGTTATTTTCTTCTATCTTTCTTTTGGATAAGTCATTCATTCTTAGGTTTCAGTGACCATTTTATTATGTATCTTTAGAGTGCTCAGCAGATGTAAGATACTCAATAAATATTTGTGGCAGAACATGTTGATGACTTCCAAATCTACATCTGTACTTATCTTTCCTCCTGTCTTATGTTTATCCTTTGGTCATTTAAATTCAGTACCTTAAACACTGAACTTTATTTCTCTCTCTACATTGCTCTTGCTGTCAATTTTTCCCTCTGTGTGAAGGTACCACTGTTCTTCCTGTCACCCAAACGTGAAACCTCAGAGGTATTCTTGATTCCTCTCCCTGCTCCATCTCTCATGCACAGCCAGTCACTGTGTTTTATCTGTTCGTTCTTGGAAAGTCTTTTGGATCCTCACATTACTACTTTCACTGCTCCACACTAAGCCAAGCTTTTATCATCCTTTGCTTGGCCTATTACATTAGCCTCCAGCCTTCAGTCCTTTTGAATTCCATTCTGTCTTCTTGAGCACTATTGCAATAAAATTGTTAGGCATCAATTTTATTATTAATATGTTACTCCAGTTGTTTAAATGCCTCGAATACCTTCTTACCAAATATAAACTCTTCATCCTGACATTCAAGGATCCCCACAGGTTTGAGCCACCTTACCTATTAGCCCCCATCTCTCTCTGTACACAAAAAAATTGCCTGCCTTTGCTAGCTTGGTGTGCCCATCACACTAATTTCCACCTTATCTTCTTCGTCCTGGGCTGCCTTCTTCCTTCTTCATCCACTTTAATCCTGCCATCCTTCATTGCTCATCTAAAGTTCCTCCTCCATGAGGCCTTCCCTGACTTTTCTCTTTTCCATGTGCATATATTCCTTCTTTGCTACATTATTTTATTCATTGCCTTTTCTGGGACCTTTCATTAACAGCTTCTTATGCATAAATCTCAACTCCTCACTAAAGCTCCTCAATGGCAGGCAAGTGCGGTGTCACATGTACTACAGGCATACCTCATTTTATTGTACTTTGCTTTAAAACACTTCACAGACATTGCGTTTTTTACAAATTGAAGGTTTGTGGCAACCCTGAGTCAAGCAAGTCTATTGGTGCCATTTTTCCAATAGCATGTGCTCACTTTGTGTCTCTGTCACATTTTTATAATTCTCAAATATCTCAAATTTTTTCATTATTATTATATCTGTTATAGTGATCTGTCATCAGTAATCTTTGATGTCAACTATTATAATTGTTTAGGGTGCTACGAGCTACACTGATATAAGACAGCAAACTTAATCAATAAAGGTTGTGTGTCTTCTGACTGCTCCACTGACCATCCATTATCCTGTCTCTCTCTTCTTCTCCTTGGGCCTCCCTATTTCCTGAGAAACAACAATATTGAGATTAGGCCAATTAATAACCCTACAATGGTCTCTAAGTGTTCCACTGAAAGGAAGAGTAGCACATCTCTCACTTTAAACAAAAGCTAGAACTGATTAAGCTTACTTAGCTTAAGAAAGGCATGTCAAAACTGAGATAGACCAAAAACTAGGCCTCTTGTGCCAAACGGTTAGCCAAGTTGTGAATGCAAGGAAAAGTTCTTGAAGGAAATTAAAAATGCTACTCCAGTGAACACTTGAATGATAAGAAAGCAAAACAGCCTTATTGCTGATGTGAAGAAAGTTTGAGTTGTCTGGATATAAGACCAAACCAGCCATAATATTCCCTTAAGCCAAAGCCTAATGAAGGCTGAGAGAGGTGAGGAAACTAAAGAAGAAAAGTTTGAAGCTAGCAGAGATTGGCTCATGAGGATTAAGGAAAGAAGCCATCTCCGTAACATAAAAGTGTACGGTGAAACAGCAAGTGCTGATCTAAAAGCTGTCGCAAGTTATTTCTTAGGTCAAGTTAAGATAATTTATGAAGGTGGCTACATGAAACAACAGATTTTCAATGTAGGTGAACCAGCTTTCTACTGGAAGAAGTCATCTAGGACTTTCATAGCTAGAGAGGAAAAGTCAATGCCTGGCATCAAAGCTTCAAAGAACAGGCTGCTTGTCTTATGAGGGGCTAATGCAGCTGGTAACCTTAAGTTGAAGTCAATGTTCATTTACCATTCCAAAAATCCTAGGGCCCTTAAGAATGATGCTAAATCTACTCTGCCTGTGCTCTATAAATGGAATGACAAAGCCTGGATGACAGAACATCTGTTTACAGCATGGTTTGCTGAATATTTTAAGCCCACTCTTGAGACCTACTGCTCAGGAAAAAAAGATTCCTTCAAATATTACTGCTCATTGACAATGCATTTGGTTACTCAAGAGCCCTGGTGGAGATGGACAAGCAAAACAATGTTGTTTTCATGCCTACTAACACAACACCCATTTTGCAGCCCATGGATCATGGGGTAATTTCTGTTTCTAAATCTTATCACTTAAGAAATACATTTTGTAAGGCTGTAGCTGCCATAGATAGTGATTCCTCTCATGGTTCTGGGTGAAATAAATTGAAAACCTTCTGGAAAGGACTCACCATTCTGCATACCATTAAGAACATTTGTCATTCATGGGAGGAGGTCAAAATATCAACACGAACAGGAGTTGGTAAGAAGTGGATTCCAGTCCTCATTAATGACTTAGAGGGGTTCAAGACTTCAGTGGAGGAAGTACCTGAAGATGTGGTGCAAATAACAAGAGAACTAGAATTAGAAGTGGAGCCTGAAGATAGATCTGAATTGCTGCAATCTCAGGATAAAACTTGAATGGATGAGAAGTTGCTTCCTGTGGATGAGCAAAGAAATTTGATTTCTTGAGATGGAATCTACTCTTGGTGAAGATGCTGTGAACACTGTTGAAATGACAGCAAAGTATTAGGAATAGTACATAAACTTAGTTGGTAAGGTGGCAACAGGGTTTGAGAGGATGGACTCCAATTTTGAAAGAAGTTCAACTGCAGGTAAAATGCTATCAAACAGCATCACATGCTACAGAGAAATCTTTCATGAAAGGAAGAGTCAATAGATGCAGCAAACTTCATTGTTGTCTTATTTTCAGAAATTGTCATAGCCACCCCAACCTTCAGCAACCACCACCCTGATCAGTCAGCAGCCATCAAGGCAAGACCCTCCACCAACAAAAAGATTATGACTCTCTAAGGGCTCAGATGATCGTTAGCAGTTTTTAACAATAAAATATTTTTTAATTAAGGTATGTACATTTTTTAGACATAATACTATTACATAGTTAAATGCTACAATATAGTAAATGCAACTTCTATATGCACTGAGAAATCAAAAAATTCGTGTGACTCTCTTTATTATGATATTCGCTCTATTGTGGTGGTCTATAACCGAACCTGCAATATCTCCGAGGTATGCCTGTAGTTCGTATGCCCACTAGTAGCTGGCAGAGCATTAGATAATGAATTTTAATTAATAGCTGTTGAATGGAAATTATATACTTATAAGAATGCATACTAAATGCACAACTATTCTATTTCCCAATAATCAGTCCAACATTTAGCCTGGATTTTCTGTAGCCCTCAAGACTTTGGGCACTTGAAAGCACCAAATTGAAATGCAAGGCCTGTCAACATTGCTTAGGTTCCATCTTATCAATAAGATGGGACTTTTACCTTCTATCTTCTTGATATATTTATATACCTTATTGAAGTCAAGCATTGAGGCATGGAACAAGTATCAAATGTGTGCAAATCATTTAGCAAGTGAAGGTTTTTTGAGTGTGTGTGTTTTTTAAACCAAACAGAAACAATTATATTGAGATTGAAACAGCACTTGATTTAACCAAGTACCTTGCTGAAGAAGATGAAATCATAGTATGGCATGCAGTCTTGGTAAACTTGATAACCAAGGATCTTGTTTCTGATGTGAAGAACTATGATATATACCCATTATTAAAGGTAATTTCATTCTTTGTTATGAAGTTTTTAGATGAATCCTCTATTCCTCGTTTCATATCCTAGCTGGCATCTGTAAGACAGGCCTTTCCCAAAGCAATAGTCTTTTAGTTCCATATATATATTTACTTTCTTAGCAATGGCCAAGAAAATGATATATTCTTGTAAGAAAATACCTTAATCATAAACCTGGTCTAGGAGATGAGTATGAGTGGATTTTGGAAACGTACTAAATTCTTGGTGAAGAGGCAGTATGTCCTAAGAAATCAGAAGTAGTGAATGGAAATAGTAACCCTTCTTCTTTTTTTTTGAAAAGGATAGCATCTAATAGCAACTATTTCCCTAAGAGATTTTTAGGCCAACAGAATGACTTTTAACAACCCTATTTTCATAATTGTAATACTCTGATC